GGAGGCTGAGGTGGGCGGATCACGAATTCAGGGCCTGGCCAACGTGGTGAAACCCCGTCTCTACTGAAAATATAAAAATTAGCTGGGCGTAATGGCCATGCTTATAATTCCAGCTACTCAGGAGGCTGAGGCAGGAGAATTGCTTGAACCAGGTTACAGTGAGCTGAGATCACAGCACTGCACTCCAGCCTGGCAACAGAGCGAGACTCCGCCCCCAAAACAAACAAAAAAGCCAATGAACAAACAACACTTTGTCACTCTGTCCCTGCTTTTGTTCCTTGGAATTTATGTTCTTGGGTTGTGGGAAGTCTTTATAGTTTTCAGATCATTTTCCTTGTCACCCGGACACCCCCCCTTCCTCCCTCCATCCCTCCCCCCGCCCCCACACACCTGTGTGTTACGTAATTACATCGAAAGTGCTCAGGCTGTTCATTCATGAGCTTTGTGTTTGATGTTTCTAATTAGCTTTCCTGGAACAGGGGAAGTGTCTTCACGTGATTTCCATTTATTGTGGGAACAATAACAATTTATGGTAATCTTACATCCCTTAAGAAGACCAGAGAACTTTGTCTTTGGAAAGCTTCAAGCGGGTCAATACACATTGTTTGGCTAAATGATGAAGCAGGCGGATATGCGGTCTCAGAGTGATGGCCGCTCATCCGACCCCACGGTCTCTTCACCCCTCCATCCCTGTCACCTGTGGCACTTGCCAGGCACACGCTCTGGTAGCCACAGGTATCAGCCCAGCATAACGCATTGAGAAAGGACCTCAGAGGTGATAGGAAACTGAGTTTTATTTTCTGCCCCTTACCACTTGTGTGACAGGACTCAGTATCCTCATCTGTAGAATGGAGATGACAATAACTCCGTGTCTGCTTCGTGGGGTTGCTGTAAGGATTGGATTCACTGACATATGCCAGAGTCCTCTGTAAATATCAAGTCGCTCACACCAGCTGGCACCCTGGAGGTGATATAATTTCTTTTTCCTTTAGGGAGGAATTGAGTGAAAAGCTTTATCTAGTTCTTCCAGTGTGTCCATCCTCAGGCAATGTCATTGATTAGAAGTAAGCAAACTTTTATGTTTATCTTTTTATTGTAGTAAAATATATATTTTACCATTTTAAGCTTTTTTCTTTCTTTCTTTTCTTTCTGAGACAAGGTCTTGCTCTGTGGCCCAGGCTGGAGTACAATGCTGTGAACGTGGCTCCCTGCAGGCTTGACCTCCTGGGCCCAAGTGATCCTCCTACCTTAGCCTCCCAAGTAGCTGGGACGACAGGTGTACACCACCATGCTTGTCTAATTTTTAAATTTTTTTATAGAGACAGGGTTTCACTTTGTTGCCCAGGCTGGTCTCAAACTCCTGGACTCAAGTGACCCTCCCACCTCAGCCTCCCAAAGTGCTGGGATTATAGGCATGAGCCAGTGCACCTGGCCTATTTTAACCCTTTTAAAGTGTACAGTTTGGTGGCATCAAGTACAGTCACATTGTTGTGCAACCATCACCCCCATCCATCTCCAGCACCGTTTTTTTTTTGAGATGGAATCTTGCTCTGTCACCCAGGCTGGGGTGCATAGGCATGATCTTGGCTCATTACAACTTCTGCCTCCTGGCCTCAAGCAGTCCTCCCACCTCAGCCTCTAGAGTTGCTGGGACTACAGACATGTGCCATCACATGCTGCTAATTTTCATATTTTTAGTAAAGACACGCTTTCACCATATTGGCCAGGTGGGTCTCGAACTCCTGACCTCAAGTGATCTGCCTTCCTTGGCCTCCCAAAGTGTTGGGATTACAGGTGTGAGCCACCGCACCCGGCCTCCAGATCATTTTCATCTTCCCAAACTGAAATTCCCCATTAAACAGGACTTCCCATCACCTTTTCCCCCTAGTCCCTGCAACCACAGTTCTACTTTCTGCCTCTATGAATTTGACGACTTTGGACACCTCCTATAGGTAGAATCATGTGGTGGTGTTATTTTGTGTGTGTGTGTGTGACGGAGTCTCGCTCTGTTGCCTAGGATGGAATGCAGTGGCTCAATCTTGGCTCACTGCAAACTCCATCTCCCAGGTTCAAGCGATTCTCCTGCCTCAGCTTCTTGAGTAGCTGGGACTACAGGTGCCCATCATTATGCCCGGCTAACTTTTGTATTTTTAGTAGAGATGGGGTTTCACTATGTTGGCCAGGCTGGTCTTGAACTCGTGACCTTGTGATCTACCTGCCTCAGCCTCCCAAAGTGCTGGGATTACAGGCATAAACACCGTGCCTGGTGGTATTTGTCTCTTTGTATCTGGTTTATTTCCTTTAGCATAATGTCCTCAGAGTTCATCCATGTTCTGGCATGGGTCAGAATTCCATTGCTTTTTGTGGCTGTTCTGTTAGATGTGTAGACCACATTTTATCTATCCATTTGTCCACCAGAGGATGCAAGGATTGTTGCCACCTTGTGGCTGTTGTGGACAATGCTGCTGTGAACGTGGCTGTCCATGCACCTGTTCACGCTCCCAATTTCCCTTCTGGGTCTAGACCTAGGCATGGAGTTGCGGGCTGAACTGGATTCGGAAAGAATGGGACTGGAAACTTTGTTCCATGATGCTACTCAGGATCTTCTGGTGGAGAACCCTTGGTCATGTGGTGTCAAGCCTGGGCTGTTTAGCACGTGACTCTCTTGATGTACCTCTGTGCCACTGTCCTGCCTTCCCCAAAGGGGGCCACATAGTTCATCACCACCCAACCAGGGAAAATGGCAGAAAGACTCTCCCTCCACAGGCACCACTGCCTCACCGTGTTGTCAGCTTCCTGCCGTGGCAGCACTGGCTCTGAGGAGACCCCTCGGTCCCCTCCCCAGTCTCTTGTCCTTCAGGGGCTGAGTCCTGCGGCACCCTCACTTCTCACTGTTTCTTCCAGGCAAGGAAGCGCTTTTCTCTTACAGGCTCCCAAGGGTCCTATTGAGCAGGGTGTCGCGGGCCATGGCTGTTTCTGATTGCAGGGATTGTGTAAAGGAAGGAGTAGCTATGGATGGAGGGTGGAGCAAGGGGCAGCCCCGGAGGAAAGGGGCCTGATTGTGGTTCCTAGCCCAAGCCTGTGGCCGCGATCACTGCTGCCAAAGGGCTTTTCCGCCTTCTGGAAAATGGACTTAGTAAATCCAACAAACTCAGGACTGTTGGGGTATATCAGCATTAGGAAGTCAAGTGGCCAACAGGGAAACCGAACGAATGAATGAACAAATGAATGAATGGAGTGTCTGGTATAAAATCACTATGGTGCTTGAACCTTGGTCTTTCTCCAGGGATTTTTCTCATACTCTAATGTAGTTCTTGTTCCGCCTCCCAGAGGGTAGTGAGCGGGAACACATACCTCCTTGTTCAGTGTCTTGGCCCACCTAAGAACTCTGTGAGGTGTGGCCACCCGTCTCCCCCTGGCTTAGAGGTGGGTGGGGAGGGATGGTGTGTGGCTCAGAGGCCGTGTCTGGGGCCATTGCCATTTGGGTTTCCTGGACAAAAGCCACTGGCCATGGCCAGTGTCACTGGAATGCCTGACTACGTATATCCCTCCATGATTAACCTGTGGTGGATCTTTATGTGTTTATTTTTAATGATTGTTCTGGAAGGTTCTAGAAGGTTTGGCTTGTGGAACGTAGTATCTTGAGGGGAGAATCCTACAGGTGAATAATTAATTGGTGGATTTGGGCAGAAGATCCTGCTTCTGACATTTTTCGTCTGGGATATTTTGGGGAATGACTATGTTCTGCTCCTTGGGTTTGTATAATTAAAAACAGACCTTGAAGCTAGGCAGACTTCTCCCTTGGGCATCCAGGTGCCGGGGGGAACACCGTCCTGAAGTTAATTGCACTGAGTGGAAGTGAATTCCGCTCACTGGAAAGGATATTTAATACATGCATTTACCTACCCTTGGATTGTGACAGTGTGCCCTGCTCTCAGGCGGGTAACAAGTGATTCAGGTGTGAGGCGGAGAAGGGGTTTCTCCCGGTTCAGGAATCTCTTTGACAGTGACTAAAGTAGGGGTCCCCAACCCCTGGGCCGTGGACTGATGTCTGTAGGGTATGTGGCCTGAGAGGAACTTTGCTGCAAGGCAGCAGGTGAGCAGCAGGTAAGCAAGCAAAGCTTCATCTGTGCTTACAGCCACTCTGCCCAGTTACCGCCTAAGCTCCGCCTCCTGCTCTAGTTACCACCTAAGCTCCGCCTCCTGCTCTAGTTACCACCTAAGCTCCGCCTCCTGCTCTAGTTACCACCTAAGCTCCACCTCCTGCTCTAGTTACCACCTAAGCTCCGCCTCCTGTCAGATCAGTGACGGTATTACATCCTCATAGGAGCATGAGCCCTACTGTGAACTGCGCACGCCAGGGATCTAGGCTGCATGCTCCTTATGAGAATCTAATGCCTGATGATCTGTCACTGTCTCCCATCACCCCAGATGGGACCGACTAGTAGCAGGAAAACAAGCTCAGGGCTCCACTGATTCTACATGATGGCAAGTTGTAGAATTATTTCATTATACATTACTGTGTAATAATAATAGAAATAAAGTGGCCAGACATAGTGGCTTAAACCTATAATCCCAGCACTTTGGGGGGCCGAGCAGGTGGATCACTTGAGGTCAGGAGTTTCAGACTAGCCTGGGCAACATGGTGAAACCCTGTCTCTACTGAAAATACAAAAATTAGCCAGGTGTGGTGATGGGCACCTGTAATCCCAGCTCCTCAGGAAGCTGAGGCAGGAGAATCACTTGAACCTGGGAGGTGGAGGTTGCAGTGAGCCGAGATCGCGCTACTGCCCTCCAGCCTGGCGACAGAGAGGGACTCCGTCTCAAGAAAAAGGATACAAGCTGCGTGGTGTGGCAGGAGCCGTGCTGGATAAAAGTAACCGTAGTGCTTGCAGTTGTGCAGTCATTATTGTTTACTCAGACTTTGGTGGTGGGGTGAGGAGCTATTGTGAAACCAGACTCCTGCGTCTAAGCGTTCTTTTTCCCTTCTTTGTTCACAGCGGGGCCTTTTCCGAAGTGGTTTTAGCCGAAGAGAAGGCAACTGGCAAGCTCTTTGCCGTGAAGTGTATCCCTAAGAAGGCGCTGAAGGGCAAGGAAAGCAGCATAGAGAATGAGATAGCCGTCTTGAGAAAGTAAGTGCTGGGGGCGGCCATCCTCTACTCCCCACCTCCTGGCCCGTGTGTCCTGTGGGAGGCCTGCCCCGGAGGCAGGTTTCCCCATGAACAGAGGGGCCCCCAGAGGACGCGGGCTCTGCAAATGATAACCACATTTCAAAGCACTTTTTCTGTAGATCTCTCGTGTCTTATAACATGCACGGCTGTGGTTGGAAGTAGTTCTAGCTCCAAAGAGCACAGCTTGTGAAGGCAGACTTGCTTGTGAACTGAGACCCTGCCACTCACGGTAGCCGAGTGACCTTAGGCTGGTTACGGAGCCCTGAGTCTCCTCTGTAAAGTGGAGTTCCCGGTGTCTCCCTGGCAAGGTGTTCTAAGGATTTGGTGAGATGCTGCTTACTAAGTTTTTGTAAAGTGCTCACTGCAGCAATTGCCACATAGTAAGTGCTCAGTAAAGGTCTCTGCTGTCGCCACCGTTACAAGTACTGCTGCTGTTGCTGTTTTATTTATAATCAGGTGATGAGGCTCACAAAATAAAGTCGTGGATTCAAAGCCTTGTGGCTCGTATGTGGCAGAGCCTGGAATACCAACCTGGCCAGCGTTATTTTCACATGTCTGATGGTTTCTCCCATTCTCTGCTGCACACGTGGTACCTGGCACCCAGCAGGCTGCATAGAGTTCACTGTTTCAGTGCTTCATTTTTTTGTTGAGTTTTATTTTTGCTCGCCATGTGTAATAGAAATAAAAAAATATTTTCATTCATTTATTTCATTTATTTCCCTTTTTTTTTTTTGAGATGGAGTCTCGCTCTGTCACTCAGGCTGGAGTGCAATGGCATGATCTTGGCTCACTGCAACCTCCACCTCCCAGATTCAAGTGGTTTTCCTGCCTCAGCCTCCCGAGTAGCTGGGATTACAGGCACCCACCATCATGCTTGGCTAATTTTTGTATTTTTGTAGAGACGAGATTTCACCACGTTGGCCAGGCTGCTCTTGAACTCTTGACCTCAGGTGATCCACGCGCCTTGGCCTGCCAAAGTGCTGAGATTATAGGTTTGAGCCACTGTGCCCGGCCAACATTTGCATTTATTTCTATTACACACGGGGAGCATAAATATAAGAAAAATCTCCTCTTGTATAATGGTGCACACAGAACCATTTATTTTTTCTTTTTTTCCTCCAGTCAGGGTCTTGCTCTGTTGGCCAGTCTAGAGTGCAGTGGTACAATCTTGGCACACTGCAGCCTCAACTCCTGGGCCCAAGTGATCTTCCCACCTCTGCCTCCTGAGTAGCTGGGACTATAAGCACACACTATCATGCCTAGCTAGCTTAAAAAGTATTTTTAGAGATGCGAGGCTGTCTGTGTTGCCCAGGCTGGACTTGAACTCCTGGCCTCAAGCAGTCCTCCCACTGTAGCCTCTCAAATTGCTGGAATTTCAGACTTGAGCTATGGTGCCTGGCTCTCAGAACCATTCCGACGTGGCTGGATCCACCCCACAATGCTGTTTAGTGAGTGTGGTGTCCACACTGTTCCATACACTGTCATGATGAAGCCATTGCCCCATAATCTCACAAGGTTTGGGGGAACAGGCCCTTATATGGCACCTGATTTTGCCTGTTTGGAGCGTGTCTGAGCAGTCTGCTATGGAAATTTTTAAGAGTTGCTATTAATAAAAGATATTCAAAATGTCCTTGAAATTGTTGGGGTTTGGAATCAGCACATAGCAAGAATCTCTGTATAGATAAGCAAAGCAGAATGAGAATAAGCCTGCTGGGGCCTCTACACAAAATGTCACGCTCCTCACATTCTTTCTGAATAAACCATCTCGCCCACTCCTCTCTTAGTGGGACTAGGAGTGCCCACTGAACGATGATCAGCTATCATTCATACAAACCCAGCACCGCTGAGAGGGCCAGGACAGTCTGTGCTCTTCTGACCTTTGCGTAACTCCCGGAAGAAGCTACAGCATACATGATAAATGATTGAGAACAAATAGGTCTCCATAACTTTGTAGCGAAAGGGTTTTGCTTATTTGTTTGGTAGTTTGGTTGTTTCTAGGTTCTCTGGGTTGTCTGTTAGGAAGCCCGTGAGTTTCAGATTGTCCTGAGCAGGATTGCAGGAAATGATTGTGTGGAAGAGAATCTGGTAAAACAAATTAAGTACATTAGCATCTAGCAGGAAAACATGATGGTAATGAGACATTTATTTAAATTGCTCATTTTCCAATATGAAATCGGTGCTTGGAGAAGAAGTTATTTGCTGGTGACATTAAGTTGCAGACACATTATAGTTATTTAACATTGTAGATGGAATTCTGAGTGGGCCCAGAGCTTCCCAAAGGTTTGATGCTGGGCACAGGGGCTGCCTGCTGATGGATCGAGGGTGGTGACTGTATTTTTGTGTGACTCCGTTAGGGGCTTAGAAGTACAAAAGCGGAGGAAGTCAGTTTCATTTTTTAGCGTTATTTTTCGTTCTCACGAGCAGAGGCCGTGGATGGAGGCTTTGTGAGCCAGCCGTGTTGATGGCACGCATTGTCTGCTTTAATTGTCTTCACGCTGTGCCTCCCTGAAATAATCAGTTCCAGGGAGAGGGCATTTAAAAACCAAGGAGGGCCAGAGGGCTGGAATAACTTGTTTTGATAGTTTCTCAGTTTCTGCCACTGGAGTGCCTGGAAGTGTGACCCCTCTTCCAGGAGTCGAGAACAAAGAAGTGATTTCTCCAGGGGTAAGAAGGTGATCTCGAATATCTCCTGCACTGACTTTTTTTTTTTTTTTTTTTTTTTTGGTGCTCTGAGAATGATTTACATGTGGAATAGGAGGCAGTTCCGCATCATGAGCAGCTGAAAGCAAAGCCAATGAGCTGGAAAGAAAATACTTTGAAACCACTCAGAATGTTGTCATGGAGACATTCATTCATTTCACAAATATTTATTAAATTCTCACTGTGCAGTAGGCAGCACTGCTGGGCACTGAGTTTAAAAGATGAAGTGCGCTTCTGGCCCTCTGGAAGTGCATGGTTTTGTCACTAAGTGCATGCAGTGACATTGGAGATGCTGTGATAGGAGCATGGCCAGGGCCTTGAGGAGCGGGGGTACCCTATTCTTCCTTCAGGGTGGGGTGGGAGGAGAGGCTTCACGGAATTGGAGGGTCCTGACGAGGAGCATGGTTTGCAGGGTCAGAAACGCAAAGGGATGTTGACATTCCATCCAGAAGCAGCTGCCCAAACAGAGGGCGGGAGACGGGAGACAGAAAGGCTGGTGTGCTGGCGAGCTCTCCAGGGCAAGGGTTTAGGGTGACGCCTGGAGACGCTAAGGTCAGAGAGGTGGGATTGTGGAGGGCCTTGTGTGCCCACTTTGAACTTCATCCTTTAGACACTGGGGAGCCATCAGAGGGTTTTAATGAAAGGATCAACGTGATCAAGATTAACTTTGGAAGATTATTGTGGCAGACCTGAGAAGAATGGCTTGGAGGAGTCAGGACTCTGTATGTAGGGAGAATAGTTAGGCTGTTGGAAGAACCTGGTGGAGAAATGAAGCAACAAGTAACACAGGAGCTGTGGCGTTGGGATGGAAGAGACAGGCATGAGGGCTGAACACGGTGGAATCTCTAGCACTTAGGGATTTGGAAGGAATGGGGAGAGTAGGGAGAGAGAGAATGGATTCCAGGAGGGCTGCTGAGTTTCTGACTTGGAAAACTGCGTGGATGATGACGCCATTCAGTGACATCAGAAACACCAGAGCAGGAGGGCAGGTAAGAGTCCTGGTCTGGACATGCTGAATCTGGGGACTGTGGGGATGTCCCGGGGGAGATGCCCAGCTGACTGTCCATGGCTGGAGCTCAGCTGTGACCTGGGCTTGCTGAATGGTAAGGTTTTTCTGACACAGCATAGAAGAAAAAATCTTTTGATGATGTTCATGACTAAGTCTTTGTAGATGGGATCTGAAGTAGATTGCGTTAAATTCCGTCTTTGTTTATTTCCATACTATGTGTGTTTGTTTCCTGGCCCTTTGTTTATTTCCACACTATTTTCCACGGAAGTAGGCCCATCTGAATCCTAGCTGCTGGCCCACCGGGGAACTGCTAAGCAGGCCCATTGCAGAGACTGCCTGCCCCGCTTTATGCTGAGTTTATTGTAGGCTGAGAAATTTATTTATTTCATTGGACTGAAGTAATGTAGCTAACACGTCCTTAAGGGTATCTTTGTACTGGCTCTGAAAATTGTTCCAAAATGAATTTTCTACTTGATGAGTAGATATTAAATGAAGCTCAGAGGGAAACATTCCGATAAACACGGAGGTGGGCTGCTGCTGTGCAGCCGTGAGGACTGGCAGTGTGGCTGTGGCATCGGCGGGCCGGATCTAGAGAACTGAGCGCAGGCTTCTCCAGACACAGCATTAGCTGTGGCCCCACAGCAGAGTGTTTTATGCAGTGTGGGATAGAACATCATTGGTGTTACTCCCCTTGGGTTGGATTACAGAGTTTATGATTTCTGTGGCATTATGTACTTTGAGGGCAGGCACTTTTCAGATCTAATTTCAAAATCTGACGGGCGCAGTGGCTCATGCCTGTAATCCCAGCACTTTGGAGGCCCGGTAGGTGGATCACTCAAGGTCAGGAGTTTGAGACCAGCCTGGCCAACGTGGTGAAACCCCATCTCTGCTAAAAATACAAAAATAAGCTGAGCATGGTGATATGCCCCTGTAATCCCAGCTACTTGGGAGGTTGAGGAAGGAGAATTGCTTGAACCGGGGAGGTGGAGGTTGCAGTGAGCCAAGATCGCGCCATTGAACTCCAGCCTAGGCAACAAGAGCGAAACTCCGTCTCAAAAAGAAGTAATAATAATAATAATAATAATAATAATTTCAAGGCAGCACTAAAAGCACTTTTGCAGGAGTAGAAAGGCAAATATGTCAACAGCCTGCATTTAAAGGAGAGATGAAGAGAGAAGGGGATGCCTAGATCGGAAATTGGTGGCTGAGAGAAGCAAAGCAGCTGTGTCTAGAGCAGCCCATTTACTGATAG